CCTTGGCTGGGTGGTACCTAGTGATTTCTCCCCTGCAGTTGGGTTTTTCAGGGGTCATTGGCCTCTTTCAGGATCTCATAAAAAGGCTGTTACCATTTAAAGAGGCCACATCTTCCCAATCCATGTTGCTCATACCTTTTCCATTTCCTTGGCAGGCTCTTTTTCAGGAGATAAGGTTTGAATGGTAAACATTATCTTAATTACAACTCTGAATTTCTAAAGCACTTCAATTTAAAAATAAAAGAATATATAAGGCGGAGATTGATTTATAAACTACTTTCAAAAGCAGATCCCATGGCACCCTCTGGCATATCCAGATTACTTGCTTTCCTATATGAATTTAATTTTCATGGCTGATTACAATACCTAGATTATATGTTCCTAATACATTTTTAGCAATGTATTCTTGACACAAGAGATAAAGAAAGCTAATACTGATATTGTTAAATTTTAGAGAATGGAATGGATTGCTTTTCATTATCTGAAAACAAACAAACGAACGAAAGATTGCTGACTTTCGCCCTGGCTGGTTTGGCTCAGTGGTTGGAGCGTTGGCCTGTGGGTCTGGAGTACCTCCGTTGCAGTTTGTCCCCGGCCCTGATTGTGTTGTGTGGGTGGCGACCACTCGATGTGGTTGTCGATGTTTCTCTCTCTCTCTTCCCCTCCCACTCTATCTGAACAAAATATCAAAAAAAAAAAGGTGTCCTCGGGTGAGGATAAAAAAAAAAGACTGCTGACTTTCTGGAGATTACAATTGAAATGGCTTTTGTGCCCTGGCCAGTTTGGCTCAGCAGTTTGAGCATTGGCCTGCGGTCCACAGAGACCCGGGTTCGGTTCCCACTACGGGCATGCGGCTGCAATTTGTCCCTGGCCCTGGTCGGGTCGTGCGGGTGATGGCCACTCCATGTGTCCCTTTTATGTCGACGTTTCTCTCTCTCTTCCTCTCTCTCCCTCCTGCTCTATCTGAATTTTTTTTTTTTAAAAAGATGGCTATTTAAAAAGTATTCCTTATAGACAAAATGCTTGGACTCTAACTGTTGTGCTCTAAGATCTTACAGTGTGTGGCCTACAGTGTATTAGGTGGGAACAGAAACAAAAGAACTAGATTTTGCTTTGCAGGGTAGGGCAGACTGTGGGTTAAACTGATTCTATAATGATAACTATTGCTGGGCCGGTGTGGCTCAGTGGTTCAGCATTGACCCATGTACCAAGAGGTCTCCAGTTCGATATCCGGTCAGGGCACATGCCCAGGTTGTGGGCCCGATCCTTAATGGGGGAATGCAGGAGGTAGTCAATCAGTGTTCTCTCTCATTGATGTTTCTCTCTCTCTCTCTCTCTCTCCCTCTCTCCCCCTTTCTCTCTCTCTGAAATCAATAAAAAGAAAAAAATAATAATGATAACTACCATTTAGCCTATTTTCTCTTACCTTTTTTATTTTGGTGTTTTGGAGTTATGAACAACTTTTTTTTTTAACCCTCATTCGAGGCTATTTTTCCATTTTTGTTCAGATAGAGTAGGAGGGGGAGAGAGAGAGAGAGAGAGAGAGAGAAACATTGACTGAGAGGGAAACATCAACTGGTTGCCCCCGCATGACCCCAGTCAGGGCTGGGGACAAACCGCAACCAAGTTTTGTGTCCTTGACTGGAATCGAACCTGTGACTCATTGGTCCACGGGCTGACGCTCCAACCACTGAGCCAAACAGGCCAGGGTCACGCCTTTTTTTTTAACCTCTCATGTATTAAACACCTATTATATACCAGCCCTATGCTAAGCTTTTATATATAAAATCTTATATACTCATGGTAATCAAATGAGGCTGGTACCATCATGCTTCCAATCCTATTACACATAAGGAAGCAGAGGTTATAAGAGAAACCAAGGAATTTGTCAGAATCACATGGCTAGTAACGTTTCTGAGCTAGAACCTGAAGCTAGGTCTGTATACTTCCAAAGGCTTTCTTCTTACCCTACCTTCCCCTTCATCCCCCTTCAACTTCAGATATCAAAAAAAATTAAATTGGCCCTGGCCGGTTTGGCTCAGCGGTTAGAGCGTCGGCCTGCAGTCCTGAGAGACCCGGGTTCGGTTCCCGCTAAGGGCATGTGCCTCGGTTGCAGTTTGTCCCTGGCCCTGGTTGGTCGTGCGGGTGGCAGCCACTCGATGTGTCCCTTTCACATCGATGTTTCTCTCTCTCTCTCTGTTCCTCTCTCTCCCTCCCACTCTACCTGAACAAAAAATGGAAAAATGTCCTCGGGTGAGGATAAAAAAAAAAAAAAGATGAAATTGTAGGAGCCCAATGATACCTCAAAACAACTCCATTTCAGATGCAGAAACCTTGACCCCATTAAGTGGTTTGCTGTAGGATATAGCTGGTGATCACAGGTTCAAATTCAGGGCTCTTGTGATGGGGGCTGGAAGCACTAAACCCACCAGTGCATCCCAGGATTACCTGGAGCAGGTCAGTACAGCAAAACTAAAAGCAAAATTTCAGAATAGCAGAGGGCTGTCAAGTTTTTACTTTGTCAAGTAATAATAATAATAAAAAAACTAAGACTATCCCACACATTTTCACACAAATAAAGGACTGTTACTATGTATTTTTAGAAAGGACATTTCAGTGAGAGAAAACAAGAAGGCATAATTTCAGAATAAAGGAGAACTGATTCAGATGAATCAATTCAATTTCATGAAAAGCTTTATGCTGTCTTTTTTTTCTTCCTCACTTTGCAACAGACTGCCCATGCACCAAAAGGTCGCCAGTTCAATTCCCACTCAGGGCACGTGTCCAGGTTGTAGGCCCGATCCCCACTGCGGGGCATGCAGGAGGCGGCCAATCGATGATCTGTCTCATTGATGTTTCTATCTCTCTATCCTCCCTTCCTCTCTCTCTCTAATATCAATAAAGAAAAAAAAAAAGAATAGTTGCCTAGTCTGTTGTCAGAATGCTGATTCTGTGATCTTTGGAGAGCCTATTATTGTATTTTGTATGGTGAGCTTTATTCTTGTTCATAGCTTGGTCTTATTTTGGGTCAGGGTAGGCAGTCTGAGGAGATGAAATGGCAGTTGATGATGGCTCTTGGTCAGCCTCTTTCATTTTCTCTTTTCTTGCTCATCATGCTGCTCTAACATCCTTTGCTGTTTTGATTATTCCGTTCTTTCTCTATTTCCAATTTCCTTACCTAGGCATTCATCATGAGACTTCTGGGACCCTTGGTAGAGGGATTTTAGAACCAGCAGATTTTGGATGAAGTTGGGTGAAAGAGAAAAGAGGCACATTATATCAGAGTGTAGACAGTGCCCCACCACAGTGTCTTCCTTTTATATAGGAGATACTCAACAGATACTTATTGGACCAGTGAGTCTTATTTGTAACCTAATCTGTTTATGCTAACTTCTAAGATTTTATGCTATTTTTATGTGCATGTGAAAAGCTCAAAATTTGTTAACTGAGATGTGGTATTAACATTATTGGATCTCTAAGGAGTAGAGTTTCTTGGATTGTCTAAGCCTCGTCTTCTGGCATTAGACCAGCTTTGCTGTCCAACAGATGATACCTTGGCCTGTGTGCTGATTTTCTGAGGAAAGAGATTAAGAAATAATTTTTTAAGTATCCAAATTTGTGAAGATTGGGATTTGAGCTTTAAACACTATGTAACAACAATAGTGTGGTTTTATGTTTTGAAATGTTTTTTATTTTATTTATTTATTTATTTTTCTTTATTGTTTTTAGAGAGAGGAAGAGAGAGAGAGAGGAAAAGAGAGAGATAGAAACATCAATGAGAGAGAACATTGATTGACCGCCTCCTGTATGCCCCTGGCCCACAACCTGGGCATGTGGCCTGACCGGGAATTGAACCAGTGACCTCTTGGTGCATGGGTCGATGCTAACCACTGAGCCACACCGACCAGGCAAAATGTTTTTATTGATTTTAAAGAGAGAGGAAAGGAAAAGGCGAGAAAGAGAAACACCAATGTGAAAGAGAAACATAGAGTGGTTGCTGGTATGCACCCCTACTTGGGATCAAACCCATAACCTGGGCATGTGCCCTCACTGGGATTCAAACCAGTGATCTTTCAGTACAGCACTCAACTAACTGAGCCACACCAGCCAGGGCAATAGTGTGGTTTCTGATATAAAGAAAACCCCTTGCTGCCCGGCTGGTGTGGCGTAATGTTTGAGTGTCGACCCATGCACCAAGAGGTTGCCGGTTTGATTCCCGGTCAGGGCACATGCGCAGGTTGTAGGCCAGATCCCCAGTGTGGGCCATGCAGGAGGTTCTCTCTCATCGATGTTTCTATCTCTTTCCCTCTCCCTTCCTCTCTCTCTAAAAAAAAAAAAAAAAAAAAAATTAGTAAAAAATTAAAAAAAAAAAAAGAGCCCTGGCCGGTTTGGCTCAGCGGTTAGAGCGTCGGCCTGCGGTCCCGAGAGACCCGGGTTCGGTTCCTGCTAAGGGCATGTACCTCGGTTGCAGTTTGTCCCCGGCCCTGGTCGGTTGTGCGGGTGGCAACCACTCGATGTGTCCCTTTCACATCGATGTTTCTCTCTCTCTCTCTTCCTCTCTCTCACTCCCACTCTACCTGAACAAAAAGTGGAAAAATGTCCTCGGGTGAGGATAAAAAAAAAAAAAGAAAATCCCGTTTACCTTATTCAAAGAACTTCATCAATTTAATTGCCCCAGTAATTAAAGGAGCTTTATTGTGAATCTAGAGTTTAAAGAATACTTTATTGCTTTTTCTGTCCATTATATTTTTCTTTTGTAGTACAAATTCTCAGTTCCCTAATTTTAATTAATAATTGGTAGTAAATGTTCTGTTTTAAATGGGAGAATGCATTGGAAAAAGACTCACCTCCAATGTTTTTTTGTTGTTATTTCAGACCAAACACTTGTGCAAGTAAACCCAACCATGGTGCATCCAGATTCTCATCAAAAGTGAGACTCTCCAAAGGACCAATGACTCTGTTCCCCGTGCCTTTTCATTTATTCCTCCTACTCCATAGCCATGTCTCGACCCCGCATTACAAGGCCTTCCAGAATAGTCAGGAGGGAAGATCTCAACAAAAAGAAAACCAGTCAGTTGAAGAAGACATCCAAGCCAGTCAACAAAAATGTGGCATCAGTCAAGACAATGAGTCCTGGAAAATTAAAGCAACTAATTCAAGAACGAGATGTTAAGAAAAAAACAGAACCCAAACCACCCATGCCAGTCAGAAGCCTTCTGACAAGAGCTGGAGCAGCACGAATGAATTTGGAGAGGACTGGGGTTCTTTGTCAGAACCCGGAGTCCTTAACTTGCAATGGGTTTACAATGACTCTCCGAAGTACCTCTCTTAGCAGGCGACTCTCCCAACCTCCAGTAGTCATAGCCAAACCCAAGAAAGTTTCACCACCTAAGAATTTAGAAAAGCAACGTGAGTGTGATGATAAGGTACTTACTAATACAGGAGTAAAGCCCTCAGAGAATGATTCTGTCTCAACACAAGACCCCCTAGTCCCTCCTGACATAGAGAATCTAATTGGCGTACAAAATACATCTTTAATTAATGGTGAGAGCCAAGGGACAACCCAGTCTTCATCACAAAGAGTTGAAGATTCTAAAATAAAATTTCCCACTCACAGCGGTTCCACAGCAGAGATCCATTCTGGGGCACTGGAAGGGACACATGGCAGTGAAGGACTGTTCTCTAAAGAGACATTGAATGATGTCATTGATTCCCCTAGAATGTTTGCTCAGGACACTTCGTGTGCTCCTTTGCTCCAAATCGCAGCCCCCAAGGTTACCTCTGAAGGAAACTCCAGCATTCAGTTAGAAGATTTAGGTTCACGAGTAGAATCTCTTAAGCTATCTGATTCTTTCCTGGATCCCATCAAAAGTGAACATGATTGCTGCCCCACCTCCAGCTTTAATAAGGTTGTACCTGAATTGAACCTTAGAAATTATTTGTCCGTTGGTGGGTCAATATATCCTACCTCATTATTAAAACTCGTCTTCGCAAGCTCAGAACAAGGAACCCTTGGTGCTAAACCAGATCATCTAGTGGTACTCAAAGCTACCCCACATCAGCAGGAAGTTCCTGATAATACCCCTGTCTTAGGACAGGCCTTTAGTGCTGTCCCACATCAATGGAAAGTTCCTGGTGCTAATCCACTTCATGGAGAGGCTCTGGGTGAGACCTCAGACGCATCAGACATCTCTGGTGCTATTTCAGTCCAAGGAGAGGTCTTTGGTGCTATTCTAAATCAACAAGCCCTTGGTATGGGTGGTGGTACTGCCTCAGACCCACCTATCTTTCTTCCTGCTCCTCTAAACCAAATTGTTGCCTATAATACTCTCCCAGAATGGCCTGATCCCCAGAGCACTGTTTCATATGGGCTTGAGGTCCAGGGTACAATGCAGATTTTGTCTTTGGGCACAGGTCACACTCCTCAACCACCATCAAAATCAGACATAAATTCAGAACCTCTAGCAATGGCTATAAGCAATATACAAAATGAGAAGCAAGTTCATATAAGCTTTCCACCAGCTAACCCTCAGGGCTTCACATTAGCCCCTGGGAGAGGACTCTACCATGCTCCACAAGGCATTGCCCAACACTCCCTGGCTGGTCCCAGCAAATTGGAAGGAGGGATCTCCCAGATCAATACCCCAGTGGTGTCTAAGCCAGTGTCACTGGCCAGTACCTCCACTTCTTCCTACACAACTTTGCTACCTACTTTGGAAAAGAAGAAACGGAAGCGATGTGGGGTCTGTGAGCCCTGCCAGCAGAAGGCCAACTGTGGTGAATGTACTTACTGCAAGAACAGAAAGAACAGCCACCAAATCTGTAAGAAGAGGAAATGTGAGGAACTTAAAAAAAAACCACCCGCCATTTTGCCTTTGGAGGTGAGTAGACACCCAAGGACCTAGGAGAAACCTGGGAGACTTGGTCAAGTGATCTATCTGTGCAGTTTGTTTCAGTATCATCCCCTTTTACTGTGGTGTAAAATGTTGCTTTATGTTATCTATAAGAAATTGTGAAGCTACCTGTCTTATGCAGTGACACACGGACTTAGAATTTTCTCAGAAAAACAGAACATACAGTATTTTCATTATAGAATTTGATAGAGACACAGAGAAATTGTACGAAATGTGATTTTGCAACTGTTTTCACTATGCATCATTTGGCTAGGTATGTGTCTTTTTTGGAAAAGATTTAAAAATTAAGAGTGGAGTCCTGGCTGGTTTGGCTCAGCAGTTAGAGCGTCGACCCACGGACCAGAGAGTCGGCCCATGGACCAGAGAGTTCCAGGTTTGGTTCCCGATAAGGGCACGTACCTTGGTTGCAGTTTGTCCCCGGCCCTGGTTGGGGTCATGTGGGTGGCAGTCAGTCGATGTGTCTCTCTCACATTGATGTTTCTCTCTCTCTCGTTCTCCCTCTCTCCCTTCCACTCTATCTGAAGATAAATGTCCTTGGGTGAGGATAAAAAATAAATAAATAAAAATATAAAATAAAAATTAAGAGTGGAACAAATTCATTAACTTCCTTGCAGCCTGAGAAACTGGAGGAATTAAATCTCTGAGGGATTTATTATTTTTTTAAATGACTTTATCTCCCCCTTCAAAAAAATTTATTGATTTTAGAGAGAGAGAGGAAGGAAAAGAGGAAGAAACATCAATTTGTTCTGCTCATTTATGAATTCATGGTTGATACTGGTATGTGCCTTGACTGGGGATCGAACCTGCAGCCTTGGTGTACAAGACAGTGCTCTAACCAACTGAGCTACCTGGCCAGGGCTTGAGTTAAACTTTTGAAACAATAAACTGTCTTCATTTTTAATCTTGAAACTTTGTCTTGGAGGTATAACAAAACAGAACTTTACTCAATTTTTGGCAAGTGATTTCTACCAATTCTACGTATCTCACAAGATTGTTGGGATTTAATGGTAATTAGGGGTTGAGCTTGGCACAGTTGGTGAGTATGCAGTTCCAGCTTCTCTGGAAGCTGCAGCAGGAATGTCTCTTGAGCCCAGGACTGCTGTGCTGTAGTGCCTGCAGTAAGTTTGACATCGATTTGGTAACTCCCAGGAGTGAGGTCCACCAGCTTGCCTAAGGAAAGGTGAACCAGCCCAGGGCCGAAACCAGTAGGTCAAAATTCTGTTGCTGACAGTAGTGCAATAGCGCCCGTGAATAGCCACTGCATGCTCGCCTGGTCAACCACACAGATCTCATCTCTTTTGCTCCTCCCTGATTTAGGGAATCCTGTATCGCCTAATATTACCTGTAATATATAGACATTAGTCCTCATAATTACATTTTGTGAGCCTAAGGTAGTAAAAGTATTGGTTGACTTAGACTTTATTTAAAGGATTTTACGGAGCTTGGTTAATACTCAAACTTGCTTTTCATACATTTAAAACACCTGTCAATTATGGTGTTTTGTGATTTTTAGCTCACTCACTTGAAGTTAATATTTATTTTCTGTCTATTATGAATACAGATATAGTAGAATAGATTTAAAGTATTGAGAAATTAGGGTCTGGCTGACTGAAAAGATTGCATTAAATTTTTTTTCTTTATTGATTTTAGAGAGAGAGGAAGGGAGAGGGAGAGACAGAAACATCAATGAGAGAGAACATTGATTGGCCACCTCCTGCATACTCCCCACTGGGGATTTGGCCCACAACCTGGACATGTATTCTGACTGGGAATAGAACCTGTGACCTCTTGGTGCGTGGCTTAACGCTCAATCACTGAGCCACACCGGCAAGGCTGAAAAGGTTACATTTATAAAGAAAGGATGAGTGCCATGTTTTCCAGGCCGTCTCCATCAATGTTATTTCTTGTAATAAAATGAGAGTTGCTAAGTATAGTCTAGCAGTGATTTTGATGTTCCTTTCTTTGTCAAACAGCAATATAACATCAACTAAGTCACTCTTTAAGGGCAGATTCCTAGGGCGGAGATAGAGTGGGTGTCCTTTTCTGAAAACTGGCAAGTCTGACCACGACTTGTGGAAAAGCTATGTTGCATTTAATGCAGGTATGTATGTAGGATCAAGTCCTATGAATGAAATTTCTGTGTTAAAGGGTACACTGTCAAACTGTCCTTCAAAAAGGCCACATCAGGGCACATTCCCACCAATGGTTTATAAGAGTGGGAAGTCCTACTTTATGGAGTGTTCATTAAAGGCTGGTAGCAATCTTTATTTCATATTTTTGTTAACTCTCTTTCTTTGCCCAGCCAGTGTGGCTCAGTGGTTGAGCATCAACTCATGAACCAAGAGGTCGCTGGTTCGATTCCTGGTCGGGGCACATGCCCAGGTGGTGGGCCCAATCCCCAATGGGGGGCATGCAGGAGGCTGCCAATCGATGTTCTCTCTCATCGATGTTTGTATCTCTCTCTCTCTCCCCCCTTTCCTCTTTCGCTAAAATCAATAAAGAAAAAATATTAAAAAACAAACAATGACAACAAAAAACTTATTTAAAAAAAATTATCTTCTTTTGAGTGGAATAGAGTCTCAGAGAGTATGTTGTACACTGTAGGCAGATGTTTTCTTTCTTTTTTTCAAATATGTTTTATTAATTGAGTTTTATTTAGAAAGAGAAGGGAGAGAGAGATAGAAATATTGATGTGAGAGAGAAACATCGATCAGCTGCCTACTGCATGCCCCCCACTGGGGATCGAGTCCTCAACCCGGGCATGTGCCTTGACTTGAAATGGAACTGGGACCTCTCAGTCCCTGGCATGATGCTCAATCCAGTGAGCCATAGCTGCAGGGCAGATTTTTTTTTTTTTTTTGGTATATGTCCCTAGCGGGAACCAAACCCAGAATTTACTGGTCCTCAGGCTGACACTCCAACCGCTGAGCCAAACCGTCCAGGGCTGTTTTTTTTTTTTTTATCCTCACCCGAGGACATTTTTCCATTTTTTGTTCAGGTAGAGTGGGAGGGAGAGAGAGGAACAGAGAGAGAGAGAGAAACATCGACGTGAAAGGGACACATCGAGTGGTTGCCACCCGCACAACCGACCAGGGCCGGGGACAAACTGCAACCGAGGCACGTGCCCTTAGCGGGAACTGAACCCAGGTCTCTCAGGACTGCAGGCCGACGCTCCAACCGCTGAGCCAAACCAGCCAGGGCCTGTTTTCTTTTTTAAATTGAATTTATTGTGACACTGGTTGATAAAATTATATAGGTTTCAGGGGTTCAATTCTATAATACATCTGTGGACAGATTCTTTTTGCAGTAACCTAGCTTTCTACATGTGTATTTATTAGTTTCCTAGGGCTGTCATAACAAAGTACTTCAACCTAGTGCGTAAAATAACAGAAATATATTGTCTCACAGTTCTAGAGACCAGAAGTCTGAAATCAAGATGATGACAGCCATCTTCCCTCTGAAGGTGCTGGGGCAGAATATCTGTTCTAGGCCTTTCTCTCCTATTTTCTGGTAGTTCCTTTGCTTGTAGCAGCATAACTCTAATCTTCACATGGCAGTCTCCCTGTGTGTATATGTATGTCCAATGTGTCCTTTTTATAAGGACACCAGTCATATTGGATTAGAGACCCACCATACCTTAGTATGACCTTAACTAATTACATCTGCAAAGAGCCATTTTTGCTTCCCATATAAAAGTTTTTATTAAACTATACTTTTTCATTATGCTCTGACCTACATTGAAAGATACTGTGAGCCCTGGCAGGTAGCTCAGTTGGTTAGAGTGTTGTCCCAATATGCCAAGGTTGTAGGTTCAATCCCTGGTCAGGGCACATAGAAAATCCAACCAATGAATGCATACATATGTGGAACAACAAGTCTCTCTCTCTCTCTCAAATCAGTAAAATGAAAAAATAAAAAAATAATAAAAATAAAGAAAAAATAATATTGAGAAAAATTCAGTCAGCCTTTTCTAATTCATTCTTTACCTAAATTATCTGTCCACAAGTGCTGACTTCCATTTGACTGAGCCATTGCAAACAACAGGTCATACATTTAATTGAATGTATTGATGGGCATTTAAGGTGTTTCTACAATATTTTATTTCAAACCTTACTGCAATGAATAATCTTCCTTTACTCAAGTAATTTCACAAGGTGAGAATTGATTACAATGTTGCCAATAACTTAAGGTTTTACAAAAATACCCCTGAAACACTTAGTAGCAATGTCTTTAGCCGAGAGACCTCCCTTGTATGCTCCTGCTTTGTAATATTGCCAAGTAACATTGCCAAAGATACTCTGTCTCTAATAGGTATAAATACATTTGTTCTCTTCTTTCCTTAACTTGCTACTCATTTTCCATTACATATTTGGTGCAATGGCTTACCTGTATGGTCACCCAAAATGGAAAATTAAGTCATCTTTGATGACTTCCACTCATTCTTCTTGATTTTCTTGTTCTACAAGATCTGAGCACTTCTACCTCTCCATTTTCTTGGGCACTACTACACTTCAGGTCTTTATCTCTTACTGGAACAATGTCAGTGTTCTCTTTATTATCAACAAGTATTTATTGCACTTCTACTTTGGGTTATGCACTAAGGATATAATTGTGAGTGAGTCAGCTAGCAGGGAAGTCAGGATGCTGAATAACAAGCTCTCGTTAGTGCAGTTCAGGTGTTTTTCTGAAACCCTGTTCTACTTAAATGTGTGTGTGTATATATATATTTTATCCTCACCTGAGGACATTTTTCCATTTATCTTTAGACAGATTAGGAGGGAGAGAGAGAAAGAGAAACATTGATGTGCGAGAGACACATTGACTGGTTGCCTCCCACACAACTGCGACCAGGGCTGGGGAAGAACTGCAACTGAGGTACATGCCCTTGGCCAGAATGGAACCCGGGTCTCATTGTTCTGTGAGCCGATGTTCTAACCTGAGCCAAATCGGCTAGGGCTACTTAAATA